GTTCTCCACAGATTCCTTTATTTATTATCTATGAATTGCTATACCTTCTTCACGGTTTTGAATTCAGAGATTTTTTTCTCTCTTAGACAGGTTGTCACTGCTATTTAACCATTAACTAAAAGGAGTACGAGAGACTGATTCATGCCTTTTCCAAATGCATTAGTGCGAAAGTAAACGCAACAAACTAACCTAGAATGTGACCTCGGCTTACCAATTCCACTTTCTCGGTTCTGTTACACCCCACAATATATACGAGTCAAAAATTAATACAGGTTCCCAGACCTCACTTTCCAGCCTTGATAGAGTTCAAAAGTATCTCTGAGTCCTTGTGGGAGAAGAATTACTTTCCACCCTCCAACTTCTCTCTCGCAGGCGGGATGTGGCGTGTTTCGTATTGCTCTATCACAACTATCATGGAAAACTACATCTTCTGGTCCGACCAGGTCTGACCTTCACGGCTAGGACCCACCATGCCACTTAGTAGTAGACCACCAACATCCCCTCCGTATTCCATTGGCGAGAAGTTCCACTCAAACAGCTCCTTCCTGTGAACTAATGCCCTATGGAACAGACACCTTAGAGGATATTTCCCCGATTACCTCAATCTTAACCTGTTCAAGTCTAAAGTCAACCGTTATCTTCCCTTCCTATCCATATAAACTACCCCATATCGTAACACTCTACCTCGATTGGCCCCCGGGCCTTGTACAGAGTGAACCTTACTGTAAAAACAAAAGTTTATTAAATAAAATGTAATATTGGTGTCTATCTAGAACACTATTTAATTATGGCATCATCCACAAAAAACAAGCATCCTGATTGTTGTGGAGTAGCTGAACACCCCCACAAGGTGAACTAGTCTCAGAATATTTAAACAGCATTCTCTTTTACTGAGGGGGGGGGGTTGATAATTACAGTTAACTCTGCTTGTCGAGTCTCTGCCTTTCGGCCGGAGAGTAACCCAGACGAGGCTATGCCGAAAGGCAGAGTCTCGTATGAGGTGGTAAACATCTAGCTTACCCCCTATATACTGCTCGAGCGTACCGGACACCCCACGTTAAAAACTGGCCTTGTGCAACATCCCACCTTATGGGGAGGTCTCGGATAAATACCAAAGAGTTAACGATTAACTGTTTATTACATTATCCTGTTCTCTCAACCGTATACCATTATTCTCCGGAATAAACTATTTTCTATGTGTGTCAACCTATCCTATTAACGACACAACATTATTGCAGATCATTAATAACGGATTGCCAGTTATGATGTGGGGGTCTGTCAAGACACAACACTTAACTGAGCCGAGTCTGTCATGATAGTAATATTCACTACTGAGATAGACAAGTCACTTCAATAGTACTGTCTTAACTTTCTAGACAATTACCCAGGACTACTTATCATGAATGGATCAGTACATTCATAATAGTCTTGGGAGTAACTTGCTCTTACCACAACACCATTTAAGATTTTAGAAAAATGCCCAGAAAATCGGGCATTAAATATGTCACGGAAATATATCATTTCTAATGAGTTTACAATAGAAATTGTAAAATCGGGGATAAAGTGGTTAACGAAAATCTTACCTACAGGGAATTGTTGTCCTCGCGCTCGATAAACCCTACGTTAAAAATCAGCCTTGTTCCATACCCGGCCTTGTGGGTGAGGTCTCGGGTAAATACCAAAGATTTAACGATTAACTGTTTATTATATTAATCTGTGCTCTCAACCGTGTACCATATTATTCCCCGGAATGTGTGTCAACCTTTCCTGTTTACGACACAACACTAATATTTTGTTTTATTTTTATTTTACAACAGGAGTCTCTCCAGTACGCAATTAGAACTGAGTAAAGAACTGGAAAATATTTTGGGTGCTGACACTGCAGCCAATTTGTTATTACCTGTTCCAAATGCCGAAGGTGGTCGCATCACCCGAAGCCGTACGAGTGAAGCCCTACAAACAATGACCATTACGAATACGTCAACTGAATACTTAAGTGGCAACGTTGACAGCCATATATCGCGCTCACCCTCTCCATCACTTTTCATCCCTCGCAGTTTGGCCTCAAGGGACAAATCACCGTCCCGATCGCCGACACGCCTCAAGCCGACCACCTCAAAGACGTTAATCAAAAGCATCTCTGTAGATACACCTGAAGCCATTTACACGGTGTCGACGAGCAAGAGAGACGCGTCCCCGGTGAGGCCGCCTCCATCTCCGGCCACTTCGGTGGTTTCACTAAACGTAACATCTATGTCCACCTCTACTCTACCCCGCATGGCCTCGCACAAAGGCACAACGGTACCGACAGAAAGTTTGAAGAAATCGCCCAGCCTTCCTATCTCGATGCGAAAGGAAAGTACAGAGTCCGTCTCACCAATGACAGCTCGCCGGCAGTTTTTCGAAAAACCAATTTCAGGGTTCACAATGTCTTTGCCTCGCCCGCCGAAAATCGGTCACACTAGACAGTCGAGTATGCCTGAGAACCTAGAAGTAAGTAGGTTTGGTAGAACAAGTTTATCTTGCCAAACATTAAATCATTTCATTATCATTGCTTTTTTTTATTATTACAATGCTTTCAGTTGCTAAACAATACGAATGCTACAATGTGGCAATAAACAAATGACTTTTGAGGAAACTTGAACAGGCAATCCACACGTCATGGGGGAATTTGCGATTTCTCGTTGTTTAATTCAAGAATTGTATATAGTAAGTACATCGGTCCAGGATGTTGCGATAAAAAGTGACTTTATTAACTTATTAATCTAAATATTATTAGTGGTTACCTTTTTTTATAAAGTATGAATTAATTTTCCATATTTGTGCATTTGAGAGACAATAAAGATAATGTGCTCTCCGGATGGGTTCGAACCTGTGTATCCCTTTATAGTGAAAACCATCCGGCGTATTTTAGCTCGGCCACAGCCTAGCAAGACTCAGTCACCACTTTAAAGAATGCAGATCTTCTCTTTCAGATCTTCTTGAAAGCCCATATCTGCTCGAAAGTGCGCTATGGTTTAATGGCTCCGAATGAGAAATCGGAGAGCCGAGTTCGAATTCCAGTCTGGTTTATTATATTTACTTACGTGAGAAAGGTATGAATTCATCTCTTCTTCCCCTCCCCCACAGTTGAACAGTGGGACAGACTGGGTTCTATAGCTTTGCTTGGCTACCAGTCTACCGAAGAAAGAAACGGCAGCCTACTGCGGATAATTCTTCAGTCAGAAATCGAAACACGAATCCGAAACATAAACTGTCATTTCCAAAGAAATAAGGGATTTTTACTGACTTTGTTTAGGTTTCGGATACGAAAGTAAAAAGTCAGCAAATATAGACTTTCGCGCGGGAATCGAAACTGTTCCTTTATTCATCTTTTAGAAAAATAGCTTTTAAACTAAGTGTCCTTTGCATTAGGCCACGGGAAGCCATAACAACAAAGCAACGCTCGATTACCCTCTTTAAGAAATCCGCAAAAATGGTTTCGCTGATAGAAAAAGGGAATACAGGTTCGATTCCTGTCGGTAGGTGCATTTGCTTTAAGGTCGGTAGACATTAATTCTACTGCTTAAAAAACAGAGATGTCTACTCAAAGACGTGTACCCTTATACTCTTAATAATAGTAAGAATGAACGTGCATGATCTTATTAAAGCAATATTAATTACAAAAGGTTTTTGCTTAAAAGAAATATCACTCAACTTGTGCACAATTCTACTTTGTATATTGCGATCTTGTATATAGATTGAGACAAAGAAATGATTCGTTTATGACATTCCCCGTGTATAGGTCGAACAGTCATTCATTTATTTTATAATCCTGTACTATATGCATTACATATAAATCTGCTTTTGCTTTGAAATCAAATCATTGATTTACGATGTCATGTGTATAACACGCACTTGAGATTTTGTGCATGTATCTTTCATTTTCTTCGATTTGCAAAACAAATGTCAAAATTCATTGATTATTCAATCAGTCAGGTAAAATTCCTTATTCAACATTTATTGGACAAAACTAACGGAAGAAACATTGAAACTGTTTCCACTCTTAGTCTCTACAAACCCCCTCCGCCACGCACACATACACACGCACAAACTGTTTTCCATGATCACGGTACATCCGCTGCTTTGGGAAACAGACTCCCGAGAGGATGCTTTCCGGATAACTACACTCTTAAATTATTTATACATTTTCCTAACTATCCTCTTAAACTGCACTTCTTACTTCCTCCACTTACGTGAAACAATATCAATCAATAATTCTCTAGCTTGAGTGGCTCATGATTCGTTTAGTTTATTTTTTTTTTCTTTTACGACATATCAACACTCAATGGTTTATTTAACACCGATTAGATTTTCATTGCTAGTAATATTTTTTTCCAAAAAGGTATTGCTTGTATTAAAACCTATTTTTACACTTTCATAGTGTTTTTACCCCAGTTTGGGGGTTAACCATTTATTTGCCCAAAGTTATACCCTAACAAGTGCTACCACCCCGAGTCAGGGTGGACCAGGGAACACCAGCAATTAAGAGGTGGTTCTACACTCCTCAAAACTTCCTGATCAAAGGCATTGCTGTTAGACGTAGTTTATCGTCTTACCGCGGACGCGGATATAGTTTATCGTCTTACCCAGGACGAGAGTGGCTCATGAGGCACTCAACGTAGAGTTACTGATTAAGTTTTGGGTGAACAATTAGCAACACAAATCTGTGGATAAATTGTCCAAAGTTCATGTTTTTGTATTGCTTTTGTTTGGGATATAATATGGCTGTCATAAAAACCATAATTAACCAACAAAATAATTACCTCTCATAAATTACTTTAAAAAGAATAGAGCAATATTAAATAAATACTTATAAACAATAACTTCACTAAGCATCCCATCAACAATCTAATAAAATTAGATTTAAAAATGGTAGGAGACGCAAACAACCATCCCGATATAAACAAAAATAAAAACATCATTAACTTATTCTACCATAATCAGATGTAACTTTTTCTTTTTTTTTAATCGAGTCACCCCAAGTAAGGCAGTAAAGTCACAGAGGCGCAAGGGGTTACTGGGTATGGAAGAAGTAGAAACAGAAACATTAATAATGAGCAGAAAGAGAAAAGATTATTCAGGAGGTCTGTAGATAGCGATTGATATTGCATTTAAATTTTTCCCAATAAAAATTGGTTGGAATGCAGGAAGGGGGTTCCACAAACGAGAAGTGCGATAAAAGAAACTGTTAGCATAAAATTTACTGCTATACCTAATCAGCCCAACTGTAAATTGGTGAGACGACGTCACCACCCTAGGACCATGAAAGTATTTATCGAAAAGGCAAAGGGAGGCAACCTTATGACGGTGGAAAAGGGACCAATAATATTGCTGATTCTTTTGGGGATTTTATCAAGGAGATCGGCTTAACTATAAACAAAATGAAAAAGTTATTTAAAATATACTCCGCCGTTACATGTCGCTTAATGATTACAATAAACATCTTAGACTTACTATAAAAAGTTTAAAACATCTATCCTAATCATTACCAATAATTCGGGGCCATAAAAAATTCTCCCTTGGTAAAAAAACAATGTGATAATGAATTTCTTGTGTCCTTTGAGGGACATCGTTTCCAATACTAATAATCGCAAAACATTAAAATGGTCATACAAGCCCCACACCGTCTCGTCGTTTAACTTGTCACTTCCCAAAACTTTGAACAATTCGTGCACATAACTATCATCATATCATCATTTTACAAACAAACAAAATACAACTATGAACATAAAAGAATATTATCTGTCTAGATTTCTGAGATGAGGTACTGTAACTATTTACACTATTTACATTGTTCGGACTGTTGTCCTCATCTTTATTACCATATTCATGACGTTTCGGCCGTTGTACGCTCCGGCCTTCTTCAGATGAGATACGGAATTAACTGAAAACTGAGATATCCAGAAAATGCATGGCACGTGGAACTAGAACAATCTACGCCTGTGGACTAAATAAAGGGCGCGGTTCGAAATTCCAACGTATATCACCTGAAGAAGGCTGGGGCGTACAGTGACCGAAATGTCGTGAATAGTATTTTGAAGTTATTCAAGATCAGAGCTTCAAAATTGCGTTTGGCTAGGCGAAGTTAATTGATTTTATGGTATATCAACACTTACTGAGTATTTAATGTCGAATTTTGCATGGAGCACCTAAATAGGTTCGAATTTACTATTCAATAGTTAGGGTCAACTAGACTAGATTCGTTAACCACTAACGAAATCGCGTCTGAGCGTAAGTGAGAATAGCTGGGTTCGTACAATTCAAATTTACTATATTCGTGAGAAGTACATTAATTCTACTCTCCCAATGCTTGATGTATTTATTTATTTCATTATAGGTAAGACATACAACTACGACATCAGAATTTAAGTCAACGGTATCTTTCGACGAACAATTGAAAGTGGCAGATCCTAAAAGTCCGAAAACGCAGATGGAACCGACAGCGAAGGAAAAAAGGCGATTTTTCAAAAAGTCGAGCAGTGTGGACAGTCCGGTGATTAGCACATTGGCTAAAGCAAGTGTCCAAGCCCAACCTGCAGCCCCGTCCTTAATGCGACCGTCCGACATTTTCAAAGCAGTCAAGCAGAAATTACGACCAACATTCAAGAAGACGCGATCCTTTGATTCCAGTTCCGCGAAAATAAGTGACGATGTCACGACTCCGTCAGGAGCCGAGAGTCCACTTGCTGGACCCTCATCAACGTGGCCCCAGACACCTGACTCGACGCAGGACAGTGTGCCTTCAGCATTCCAGCCAGTGATGATACCGGATCTTGAACGTGAACCAGAAAGAGGACACAGACATAGATCATCGGTAAGTCAAAGAATTTAAGCATGAAGTCCTTTTAAAATTTCATGCACGCAAAATTATATATATATATATATATATATATATATATATGATGGTGTGCTTAGAAAGAGAAAAGAAATATCTTGGTTTTTTTCCACTCTCTAACGCCCATATTAGACCTTAGTGTATCCATGATATGCAAGCAACTTAACACAACGGAAGGAAAGACTACAATAATTCAAATAAATTATTATTATTATAAGAGATTATAATAAAAACATTTTGAAATCGCTATACAAAAGCTTTCTTGTTTCAATACTATGATTGTATTTCTTCAAGCGATGGTAAGTAACTACTGTTGATTAAATGATTTTTGAGGAAATTTAAAAACAGTGTTACTTCTTTTACGAAAGTTAAATGTGGGAAACATAAGGTCAGAATTATAAATGGACTTGTGGGTATGTCTTGAACCAATTAATTACCCACAAGTCTATTAAACATGAAAGCTTTTGTGTAGCGATTTCAACATGTTTTTTTTAATATAATCTGTTATATATATATATATATATATATATATATATATATATATTGTGTATATTTAGGCAGCAATTTTTCATTAATGCATGTTTCATTACATAATATAGACAAGATTTGTCTATTTATTTTAAGTAAGTTCCTTTTATATTGTCTGATAAGCTTAATAACATTATCATTGAAAGACGAAAGGAAATCCCCATATTGATACATGTTTAAATCCAATCTAAGCTTTCGGCTTACATAAGCCATTATCAAAGATGACAATTACATTTCAATATATCAAACGATATACGGATGAAACAATAATGATAGTCTGTTTTTGTTGCGTGAAAAATTTCAAAGCAACGACAAACTCGTGTATACGAGACGCGGAAGCGAAAACCGCGTCGCAGCTCGTGACGTCACACATGATCATGCGAGAGTGAAAACGAGAAGTTTTAAGTATGGGAAGCAATTGGTATACACCAATGGCTTCTGTTATCAATTATAGGCATTTAAGAATATTTGTGGAGATTTCGTAGTTTATTTTGTTTAGGTTAGGTTTAAACTGCTTTATGTATATAGCTTCAGGAATTTTTAGTTTTTGCTTATTGCTTTCATGTGTAAGTATAGTTGTGTTTTCGTCTTTCAATGATAATGTTATTAAGCTTATCAGACAATATGAAAGGAACTTACTTAAAATAAATAGAGACAAAACTTGTCTATATTATTTAATGAAACATATATATATATATATATATATATATAAAAATGGTCATTGAGATCAAAAGCCAGCTGCGACAATCTGTTTCATGCTTAAACGCAATCGTCAGGCCATGTGCATTATATTTTGGCTCGACTTTGTTATATATTCTTGTGTAACACAAGGTCGATTTTTTTTCTTTACGCGGAGAGCGCCGTTCAGATACGTATGCATATGGGCCAATGACAAAATCTGCCCGGTTTCAGCGACGACTGTCATGCTGGCGCCGATATTACACCGACCCCAACTCACTCAGTGCACTGAGTAAGGTGCTGTCGCAAGGGCTAGAATCCCAGGAACCGACCGCATTCTGTCATCTAAAATGAACAGAACATTTTACTCTCCTTCCGACGAAAAGCGAACTCCTGTGCCAGCGAGCAGGCACTCTTTTTCAGATCTGAGAAAACCATATAAATTTATTAACATATTTTCTGTTTATACGTTATTTTTATAGATATAATTATATATTAGAAGTATATGCCCTGTTTATAATAAACACTATTAATTATTGAATGTCCGAGAAATTTCGTAAAAAATATGTGTCCTCCGTTTTTTAAAAACAAATTTTTATTTTGGTTTTTTAAACACCAAATTTTCCACGATCTTTCTCGAACGATCATATGTGCTCGCAACCTAGCTTTACGTAAACAAAGGACAACATATATTTCGAAATGGACAATTATTTTAATCTTTTCTGTTTATACATTTATATATATATTTTACATATTTATATATCGCGGAAAATCTTTTGTTTAAAAACAGTAAATTGGACTTTGCTAACTAGATGCTTCCTCTGTAGTTGAGTGGTATGGCACGTCAGATCAAATGACGGCTCCGTGTAGGACACAGGTTCGATTCCTGTCGGAGGACACATATTTTCTAAGAAATTTCTCGGATATTCAGGGCGGTAAATGTAATTAATAGTGTTTATTATAAACAGAACATTTACTTAAATATAAATAGTGATTATTATAAACAGAACATTTACTTAAATATAAAAATAACGTATAACCAGAAAATTAGTCCATTTCCTTATATATATATATATAAAATTTACAATATAGGCGGTAACATTTAATTTGCATAACAATTTTTAAAAGAATATTTTAATAAATATTTAATCCGTATTATTTTTAATTCATTTTTAAATTGCCATATATAAGCAATATTTCTGTCGATAATTTATTTTAATTCATCGTATTTGCATACAGAGAAAGAATGTATATCTACTTTGTCAACATTCAGTTGTACATTAGCACAAAAAACCTTTAAAAGTGAACATCAAATAATTTTTAAAAATAAATTGGACCATTACGATCTTATCTCCAGCAGCGTTTGTAGCAACCATTGTTGTCATCTGACATTTCACATTAGGATAAATTAGTCGAACGGAGCAGAAAAAAAAAGAATAATACTGCACCGAATTATTTAAACAAGGAAAAACTAGATTTTTTAATTAATTATTATTAATACAAATATTTTTTTTAAAAAATAATCGACAAGATTCTCATGTTCAACTCCAGCTGTAACTATGTCCAAAGTAGAAAATTCAAATAGACTTAGCATAATGACAAATGACAAATGACTTAATGACCAATGACATAATGACAAGTGACAAATGACATAATGACAAATGTTGTTTATACAGATATTTTACAAAGGTAAGTGAACTTCTTTTTCTCTGTCCATTTTACGGGTATTCGGCTAGTGTTTAAAAATGAAAACAATCTACTATTGGTCATGAATGTCACAAGTGACTATTAATAGAAGCATTAAATTGTCGATTTTTAGACAAGTATACTGGTAGTTACGATTCAGTTTATTAACATGTTTGCTATTATTGATACTTAGATGCTTTACGTTGATTCGTTCAGCGGCATATCAACTCCTTATGAGTAATTTTTTCTAAGCATTTCATCCCAAGCAAGGCGGTAGTGCCTATAGCACGCAAGGGGTTACAGAGAGTGAAAGTAATAGTAAAGGAAGGTGTTTGAGGAAAAGATAAAGAGAAGGACGGGAATCAAAATGAAGGCATCAGATGATGTCGATTGACATTACATTTAAATTTTTGAAGATTATAGTTATCAGGGAAGCAAACAAGAGGAAGGGAGTTCCACTGTCGAGAAGTGCGAGAGAAGAAGCTCTTGGAGTAGAAGGCGGTTACATTTAACTGTTTCGACAGTAAAAGGGTGGAACCGAGATGCCAACCTAGTAGCACGCTTAAATTCATGCAGTTGGGGCACTAGTAGAAATAGGTCGTCAGAGCAGTTGCCATGAAAATATTTGTAGAAAAACAGATGGGAGCCACATCATGTCTGTGAGTAAGTAACTGGAGTCGAGATGCCAGTTCAGGGCTTGTTTAATGCCTAAATCTAATTTTCTTTTCGTCACGCACTGTTGTTATTATTTTGAACGAGACTTCTGGAACAAGGTTTTAAGTCGGAGGCTTTTTCTTTAGGGCGGCAAATCATATGAGATCAAGCGAAGCAGTGGATCTTGTCGCTCAGTTCAGTCTCGTTTTCGCAATCTCTCTCTCTCTCTCTCTCTCTCTCTCTCTCTCTCTCTCTCTCTCTCTCTCTCTCTCTGCCGTGTGTCTGTCGTAATGTGTTCAGTAGTATCTTCAACTACTCGGCGTTCTGTTTTTACGGACCCGTGCGCAAGGCCTGAGGTTGGTCATGATGTGCTCTGGGTATGCCAGCGTTCCCCAAACAACCAATCAGGGCTCTCCCTGAAAATGTCCAAATATAAAGGAACCCCTCCTCCCTCCTTGGCATTCTACCTGTGCCATCTCCTTCTTGCTTTGTGAGTGCTTCTCACCATCACTGCCCGGGGGTGTGGAAAGTCCTCCGCCTTCCCTGAAATTCCACCTGGGCCTTTTCCTCTTTGGTAACCTGATCAAACCCGTCCCCCAATCATCGATCAAAATTCTTTCTTATTGTGCTTTTGCATGTGGTCATTTTCCCATCTGTGATTTATCATTTTTATCTCTTCGTCAACCCTTTGGCCAAGAAGTGACAAAAAGGGAACAATCCCTTGATTTGAGAAGTTTTATCGCGTTTCAACAGACGAAAAGTTTAATTATCATCCTTTACATATGTTTTCTCGGGAACCTGTCTGCTTTTAAAAGTTAATCCTTATTAACAAACTGAACTCGCGGCCATAGGTCCGTATTCGGCGTAGCAAAAAGTTCGTTAATAAGGCGGATATTGATAGCAGTCTGAAGAAATCTCCGTCTCAGTAGTTTCAAGTAAGCCCATGATATGGTTAGTAGTAATCTCATAAATTAGGTCGATGTCAATCTGCTACGTTTTTCTCGGCTCGGAACAGGGCGGAAATGTCAGTAGCAGATGACCTTTTAACTGTTTCTTCAAGCGTCACCCATGGCTGGTTTCTAAGTTTATATCCTTTTGAATAGGCTCAGTGTTTGTGGCGGGACCTTTGGTTTCGGCTAACATTAAAAAGTCCCTTTGTGTCAGTTTTTTTTTAATTGGCCAAATTATTTTATTTTCCAGAGTTTTCATTTTTTATAACGGAAGTTATACGAGGAGCCTCCCTGATTTTAGGTATTTTTCAGTCACAAATAAGTAAGCTCTGCTCCTGCAAACTTCCGATGTTTTGGGCCGAGTTCAGTCTTTTCTTCTTCCTCCTCTTTTTATTTGAGGATTGGCTTCTCATAGGTTGAGAGAAGTATAGAAAGAAAAGTTTAGAGAAAGAAAGAGAAAAAGAAAACGATAATGGTTTTAAAGGACAGCGTAAATGCTATATTTTAATTTGAATCCTTTTTATTTTTTCTTATATACTTTTTTTTTTATCGGAAGTCACTACAAAGCTTTTCAGAAACTTTCGGAAACTACTCGATGATAAACCAAATCATTTCATATTTTCTTTTATTTAATTCGTAGAAATAGTTTTAGTTTTGTTATTCAACATCCACACACGCAATTTGAATGAAATTAAAATAAACGTGTTTCACGAGGGTTAGTTCCCCTTTCTATCTGGCAGCAACCCTTGGGTAACAGGAAAGAGTATAAGCTGAAACGTTCAGCCCTTTGAGGTCATTTTTATGACTCCTTCTGCATTAAACTGGGTATGTTTTTTAATATCTGTAGCATTTTAAATGAACAATTTTGATTTAAAATTTGATCATCTTGCTATCAGCGAAGTCCTGAGTAAGACGATAAACTACACCCAGCAGCAATGCTTCTAATCGAGAGATTGAAGGTTTTGAGGAACATGGAACTACCTCTGAATTGCTGTTGTTCCAGGTCCACATTGAGCCGGGGTGGTAGCACCTATTTGGGCCCAAGCTATATTCAAATAGTGCCTCCCACAAACGCTATGAAAGTATAAAAATATATCTTTATACTAAAAATACCAGCAATACATTTTTATATAAAAAAAATTACCAACGGTACATATTTATAGTAGAATTGCCAACAATACATTTTATAGCAAAATGACCAACAATACATTTTATCTGTAGTTGAAGCCATAAAACTATGTTCAAAATATTTAGATTTCGACATTAAATAACTCATGGAGTTGTTGATATGCCGCTAAACAAAATCAAACAAAAACCCGCTACCACCGAAGCGACGGGTACTGAACTAGTGATAAATAATAATATTAATAAATAATGAACTTGTAATAAATAATAGGGAGGTACAGTGGAGTAGGGGAGGCACGGTGAATTTATGGATAGCGGCTCGGATTGAGAAATCGAAGAGCCGAGTTCGAATTCACTTAATACCTTTCCCAATGGTATTAGCCTTTACGTGCTAATACCATTGGGAAAGGTATTAATCCTCTTCTTCTCCCCCTAGAAAATAGTAAATAGCAGGACAGGATTCTCAGGGCGGATTCTATAGCCTTGGATGGCAACTGGTCTACTGCAGAAAGAAATGGCAACCTACCTCGTCAGTCATGTATCGAAAGATACATGATCGCCTCTGCGTGTATCACGCATAGCACATAACTGAGTGAATAAATCACTAAAAAATGTTATTACTGTTAAAGTTTTTTAATGAAATTTATAGGTAGTTTTAGTAGTTTTTTTTTATTTTAGTAATCTAATTTTGTTGTTCTCTAAATCTATTTAATTGTTAATCTTTTTGCAGCACACAGAAGAACAGTCTGACAACGTTGGTGAGTTGACGACGAGTGACAAGCGAAAAGCATTCAAGAAATACCGCTCAAAATCGGCAGACACACGTAGTGCAAGCGAAGACCGAATCCGTTCCGTCGTTATACACTCTGATGTCATCACACCCGTCAAAGTGTGGGAATTTAACGAAACACCAGTGTGAGTTCTTCAATAGGAGACAAAAATGAAATCAGAAAAAAAAACGAATCCATATTCCACACTGACAATATTCGATTAGTCTTCTTACTGTTTTTTTGTTTTTTTTTTACTCCTTTTTAACATTTACTAAAATGATCGGTACTAAAATATATATATATATATATATATATATATATATATATATATAAACAAAAGGTGGTCCACGTGTGTTTTATAATATGTAAGTCTAATAGGCAGGTTAATAAAATTTGAAGAATAAAAAGCCAACAAAATGATAGCAATATTGGTAATAAAACTCGTATTCATTATACCTTTTGACTAAATTGAAGCATGAAAAGAAAGATTTTTAAAGTCGGAATTTTCGAATACGCCTGTGTTCTTTTTCAACGATACTCAGAGAGTATAATTTCCACAGGGAGACCTCTAACCAACAACAACATTCCTCGGAAGAGTAAATCCCACTTTTTCTTTTTGTTTATTCCTTGTATTGTTGAAACAGAACACAGGCGTGTTCGAAGAATCCGACATTAAAATCTTTCTCTTCGTGCTTAAATTTAGTCAAAAGGTTAATATACAATAAATACCAATTTTATTGCCAATATTGGTACATTTTGTTGGGTTTTTATTCTTCAAATTTTATTAACCGTCCTGCCTATTAAATATGTATATATATATATTTAATAACATGAAATGCAGAAACGTGGATAATGAAATTTTATGACGACAATTCGAACGATTCGATTTATGTAGGCAAATTCTTTCTGCCATTTTTCTTTCCTCAGTGCTTGTGTTTTGAGGACATGTTGAGTGTATGAGACCCTTTCAGAACGTTGCTAGCGTCACAAATTTATACTTTAAAGTAACTTCAGAAGTAGCGTATAAATTCGTTAGGTCAGCAACAATATTAGAGGAATCCACACGTTCAATAAGTTCCTTACTTTTTTTTGTTTTCATGGAGAAAGGGTAAATCTGTCGAAGTCATAAGAAAGCAGCTATGGTATTTTTTTACCCAAGTGTTACTACCACTTTAATGCAATATTGACCAACGCATACCACAGGACAAACACCTCGTGTTGGTGTAATTGTACGATGCATTTTGTTACAGGTCGCGATAAAGCATGAAAGTTTAGCTTAAGTAGAGTTGGAGGAGATTAGAAGCAAGAATAAATAATTGTTGTTGCAAATCTCCCTAAATTGTTTTCCTGCGACTCTATTAACAGTAGTAAAATAATAATTTGTAATGATTATATCTATAACGTATGCTATGGGAAATTGAAATATTTAAAGTACATTCAGGAAACTTTAATTCAATATCAAATATAGTTTGTTGATCCTAAGCATACGACAAAAACTTTACTTTGACTCTGCTAACAATATAAATTACACAAGCCCTTCGAGATATACTGAAAACGACAAAGAATTGTGATATTTTGTCATTGGCGTTGTAGACTTCTATCTTTTTGCTTACTAACTACATATTTTGTTTCCATACCAAGAAACGTAATTTAAAAAAGAAAAGATTTAATGAAGGGAGATAACTCAATGTTAAAAAATAGTAATATATCATTTTTATTTAGCTCTGAGTCATTAAAAAATAAACAAGTGGGAACAATATTGTCATCGGTAAGCATTGTACCTATCATTTTTCGTTTGTTTTTTTTATCCTAAGAAAATATTTTTATTTCACAAATGAAAGAGGTTAATAACTATTTAAAAATATGTTGGCATTTGTTTGAAATTTCTCTCTTCATTGGAATCGTTAAGATTGGTGTTATATGGTGGCTATATTTTTTAGAACACTCACGACAATACGAATAATTTGCGAGGTTAATTTGTTAACCAAGTAAAGTATTCGGTTTTATTTGTCATTTTTTACACTAACGCCAGAGAATTGTTTTCTCTTTACTATGCGTCTAGTCAAATATTTTTTTAAATATTACGAGAAACCGTTTTTTCAATCGCGTCTCCTTTCATTAAATGTTGTGAAAATAACGTAATTTCTACAACTTCCTTCCTCTTTAAGAAATCTAGACGGACAAACTCGGAAGTGTAAAATGAAAACGAAGTTCTAACCATTTTTTTTTTAGCCTAAGATCAGAATGTATTTTTTTCTTTCATTTGTTCAATTTAATTTAGTCTAATTCTTTATGTCAAACCCAATCTAACTGGATTAGCATATTTAGTTGAATTCAAAATTTTAAACAGGTTTTAGCTAAAAAAAAAAAAAAAAAAAAAAATAATTCACATTAAATTTCAAAATGGGTAAATTAAAAAGTCTACATCCGTTGACTCCAGCAAAAAAGTTTCCGATTAAAATGGGAGAAAAAAAAAAAAAAAAAAAAAAGAATCTACAGACGATCCAATGAAACACTTGAAAAAAATTGTAGTGGAGCTGGTAATATTTCTAAAAATCAAAGACATAGCCAAATTTTGAAAATGATTTCATTTAGATTCTCAACTTCGGTTTATTTCAAGTGTTAACAATGAAACGATCCGATTAAAAGAGAACTCTTAAAATCTATGCAAAAATTTAAATCTTTCATTCAAAAAATGATACAAATTATATCTTGGTTCGTGTGTACAGCTTACGCTACAGTTAATTTTATTATTTCTAGGGGCGACAACAAATGATGCGGCTGAATAACCTGGATTATTTGTTTTAATCTGGTTAAATCTTTATAAAATATTGAATGATTAATACAATATAAAAAGTGAATCTTGATGATGTTTGTGATATTGTATTAAAGACAGTTCTTTTAGCTGAGTTATGTCAAAAAAAAAAAAAAAAAAAAATGTCACATATCCTAAAAATATACTATAGTAACCTCAGTTTAAATATTAAACTTCCAAGAACCGTCGAACTGTTTTAGTACAACATTGAAAATTATCTTGCAAAGTATAAAAAAAAAAAAAAGCATGTCAGTATTTCGGGACGAAATAAGTTTTATCAAAATACCAGCATGCACTAAGACAAATGTTATGGTTTGTTTAACAGTTTTTTTTTGGGGGGGGGCAAGACAAGTTCGAGCTTTTGGTGTTATTGTATGGTTAAAATTTTTATTAAACAAGGAGAAAACACCAAGTTCTGTTTGTGTATTTTAACGAATTAGCATATCCGTTTTAAATACCAAATTACATTTCTCGGTTTAAACATATTCCGCTATGATAAAAAATGTTAGTGCCTTTAATTTTAAAAGCCAGACTGCTTAAAAATGGCTTTTCAACACAAAACATCATCGCCATATTGAGTGATTTATTTATTTACGAAGCCATCTGTTCATGCGACAGATGTTGATGAATATATAAAGTCGGTTTTTCCTTTATAAGGGCGTGTGAGAGTTATTTTGTGCTTGTGTGGTGAATTTGAAACAAAAATCGATTAAGTTTTATTTTATATTCTTTTTTCCTTTTTTTTTTTTTTACCTCGAAAAATCTTTAAAGTATTTCATATTTATTTAAACACCCATTCAGTCAAGTACTGAATGAAGTTTCAGGAAATCGTTTGCTTTGAAACCCTCTCTCCAGAATCCGTCCCCCCCCGCCATCTTTCAAACACTCCTCCTCAACCTCCGTTGCCTGAAGTGCATGAAAATGTCTTGAGTGTGAATTTTAAGATTTCTAAATTATTTTTTAGTGAATTAACATCTCTGCTAATAGTCTGGATTATGATAAGAAACCTGCACCTTACGAAGGAGGCGTTTCTTTCAGCTTTTAATGTCGATAACTTCACTTATTCGGCTGTTAAGTCTTGGACAGCTCGCTGCAATTATATACTTGTAAATTCCACAATACCTAATTCATCTACTTTCAAGTAGGTGTCTGTTTGGTACAGGGTCCGGGAGTAGCGATATTGTATATAATTTCTTTTGTACCCCAACCGCGATGCTGATGAAAGGAAAAATAAAAATATCCAGCATACACAATATCAAAAGTTAACTGAATAAAACAAGTCTGACTCGTGGGTAGACAATGTCGTGCCATCTTCCTGAATTTGAAATTGGTCTATGACTGGAATAGAACTCTGACTGCTGTTATGGATTTTTTTTTAATATTGATGAGCCATCCGTTACGCGTAAGGGATATCAGCGGCGACAATTACTACCGGTTTTTAGTGCACTCTGCCCAGGAGGTACCGTGTAGATAGATTGCGGGCACGTCCCATTCACGTTTTCTGCTTTCCACTGGTCTGTCCACTTGCGTGTCGGCAAATTTTAAGGGTTACATATGGATTACTATGCAGGTGAAATGTCATTACTATATATATATATATATCGTTTCAACCGATGTGCTCTCTGGCCTTCATCAGATATATATCGCACCGGCCGTTTTGACATCTGAAGTTATAAAATGATTTCTTCAGACAAAGCAAGCAGACAATGAAAACAAATACATATTTATTTATAACGTAAGAAATTGTTTGTGGCTTTGAAGGAAGTGCGTGTGAAAGATGAGACTGTTGATTAATATTTTATGACTATTCAGGCCTTGATGGAAGCTACTACTACCACCACTCCTCCTCCCCATCCCTTTATCGTTGTTACTGCCACTATTTTCTCCTCCTCCTTTCTCCTTTTTGTTTAGGGTCGCTCAACAAATGCGTGTCTCGGTTAAAAACGGTAAAAACATATTTGGCTTACGGCTTTATCAAGTTGAAACACCGGTTCCCGTACGATCACCGAAGTTAAGCAACGTCGAGTTTGGTCGGTACGTAGATGGGTGACCGCTTGGGAATACCAGGTGCTGTAAGCTTGGATGTGTGAGTGGTGTAAAGGATAACGACTCGGAATTGAAAATCGGAGAGCTGAGTTCCAATTCCAACTGGATTCGTTATGTTCACTTAGGCGCAAATATCCTTGGTGAAGGTATGAATCCATCTCTTCCCTCCAGTTATGGGTTAATCAGTAGGATCTGTATCAGTAAATCATTATTATCTTTAACAAATTCTTACAATCTAAAAAAAATTTTCTGGCTTTAAATAAACTGCAAAAGGTTGATAAGCCGTAAAAAATAGAAATTAATCAATCAAGATACATTTTTCAAGTCCTACATTTCCAAAACCGTCCAAACTTAGTTTTGACATCTTCCCTTACCATCATTCAAGTATAATTTACAACAGCTAACTCAACTCGAGACGTATTTTTAGCACTACTTTTTTTTACTGTTTCTATTTACTAAACACAACTAGTAAAAATTTTAGAATTTAAAAAATACAATAGTTTAAAAAATCATTTCAGAATAATAATTTCATTTTATTTTCCTGAAAAATAAATTCCAAACTTTTAAGTCCACATCTAATTGAATATATATATATATATATATATATATATATTATGAAATGGACAAAGTCCGACAATTATTTAAGACATTTTTATGTTTATACGTTCTTTTTATAGATACAAATATTTAAGTAAATGCTCTGTTTTATAATAAACAGTATTAACAATCGGTTAAGGCACGTCAAGCTATATGACGGCTCCGTATAGGATACAGGTTAGATTCCTGTCGGAGAACACATATTTCCTATGAAAACGGTAAATGTTGTTAACACTGTTAACAGGGCATTTACTTAAACATTTGTATCTATAAAAAGAACGTATAAACATTAAAAAATGTCTTATATATATAGTGATTTTCCAAGCCTTGCTTAGATGTGGCACAGGGCCAAAATTATGGGGCACCCAGTGAGTACCGAACTCATTCGTAATTGTTCTAGCGAGACAGGATTGCTAACCATTACACCACATCGAGGTGGCCAAAATTATTTTCTAAGCGTACCATAAAAGTAATAATTGAATATGAAACAAAATGGTGGAGAGAATCGGGCTATATAGTGAAAACGTTATGTAAAAACCTTTCTAGCGTCGCATAACGCTGATACAAAGAAATATTCCTAAGTACATAGACATCATAGGAAACTGTTGTATGTAACTGATTTTAATGAATCTATTTTAGATATAATCGAATATCGCTGTGCGGTCTCTCAGTTGGCATGTCACAACTACGCTAAATCTGAAAGTCAATCTCACTGCTATCGATAGTGAATTCGTTCGGGTTCAAATTTCTCGGTAGACATTGAGATTCTGAGTCTATATCGTGATCTGCAAAAGAACTATACGATTAAGTGAAGAAGCTTTATAGAAATCGGATAAAATATACCAAATAGCTAGTGTCATCTCTTGAAATGTTTAATTAAATCATTTCCATTTCCACCCCTCTAAGAAAAAGAATACAGTTGATTCTGTTAAAAATATGAGCGATATGACTGCGCTTAAACAGCCTCACATAAAAAAAAGGCGGCAAAGTCAGGCTTGAATATGTTGAGTTGCTCTTCTTGTCAATGGGTGGAATTGTGGACAAAGTGAAAAATGTGGTGTGTATTTTTTTTATTTTTTTATCCCATTGAGGATATACACGGACTGTTATTTGAATCTAAGCAAACAATAAACTACATTTTACCTCAACTGATTTGCGACAGTGTTGTTTGTTTTGATTTTATTGTTTCTTCATTATATCATGAAATCGGGGATTTAACACTTGTTTTATTTTATTTTATTTTTTATTTTTTTTGTTTGTTTTTTTTGTTTTTTTGTTTTTTTTTGTTTGTTTGTTTGTTTTAATTTGAACTGAATTTTTAATTTTTACAATCCTGTAAGTAGACGATTTTTTAATACATAGTGACATGTCACTATTTGTATTTGTCTCGGAGTAAATTTAATTTGATCATATTACTTTAAAACATTCGGTATTCATTGACCGAGCTCCTTGTGTTACTGTTAATTGAAAATTATGAAATCTTTCTCTTAAAACAAGGAAAATAGGTTTCTTAAATCCAGTAGCTGTTATCACTTTTTCTGGCATTGATGGGGTTTCCTTCCTAACCTTTTATCTGAAGTCGTGTGGAATGCTAACATTTTGCTTATGACATTATTTTCTCACCGAGTTACATGTCCAGTCCATTTTATCTGTTGGTGGTATTGAAAGTTCTTAAGCGATACGGTTTCTGTTATTTGGTAAAGTTCTTTGTGATTCTGTAGCGCCAATTCACAACATTCGAAGAGGAGTGGTCTTCGCCAAGACTCATAGGCTTTTTCACATGTTCAAAGTCTTTTATTAACTGTTTATTTTGAAAATAACGAAACGTAATTAATTTTAGTTCACGTCTAAGAAGATTCGTCATTTACAGTGACCAACTTCGTAAAAGGTAGAATAAAGGAACCAGATAAAAAAAAAAACGAAAAACAAAAACGGGAGAGAACGATTGGATAAATTTTGGCAGAATGTTTGGTTTGTTTTACGGCATATCAACACCTCAATGGGTTATTTAATGCTGACAGCATTTTAGGATAGATTCGTATGAATACAATATGTATTCTTTGGTTTAGATTGGTTTGGTTTATTTTGTTTTACGGCATATCAACTTCAATGGGTTATTTAATGCTGACAAAAATCTTTATTGCTGTTAATATTTTGTTTTGTCAAAAATCTGTTTCTGGTAATATATTTCCTTCAAAATTGTATTGCTGGCAATATTTTTTTTTCAAAAATATATTGCTGGTAATAATTAAAATATTTGCCCAGTAATAATTAACTATTTGCCCATATTTTCTCCTTCAGCTGGGACCCTAACAGATGCTACCACCCCAGGTCAGGGTGGACCTGGGAACACCAGCAATTAAGAGGTGGTTCCACGCTCCTCAAAACCACCTGATCAGAGGCCTTGCTGCTGGACGTAGTTTAACATCTTACCCAGGACGTGGATGTAGTTTAACGTCTTACCCAGGCGAGCAGAATGTTTGGAAGGACATTTTTTTATATATACTAACTCTAGATGAGTATGCCATAAAGTTTGTTTAACGATATATCAACTTCTTATTGGTCATTTAATGCTGAAATTTAATTTTCTTGCGAACTCTGAAGTAATAAAAAAGATATGTTATTCTGCTTTCACAATTGAATACATGGTAGATGATACTCAGCTTTTGTGCATATACATGTTTGTGTGGACATAATTACTACAGGCGGTGATGTGTGTTTTACGTTGTATTTTTCTTGAATTTATATTTTGGAATACAGTTTGATTTCCTTAAGAAATTGTAGGATATTATATGAATTAATGTCATGAAAGAGTTCTTTCATGATGGTCGATTTCGTTTAGTAGCATATCAACCTCTATAGGTTAATTAACGCTGAAATCTAAATATTTTGAATGCAACTGCCTGCCTTCAACTACAGATGAAATGTATTGCTGATCATTTTGCTATATAATGTATTACTGGTCATTTAACTATAAATATGTATTTCTGGTCATTTTACCTAAAAGAAAATGTATCTTTATACTTTCATAGTGTTTTCTTTTTGTTTGGGGGTTCACTATTTGCCCCCCCCAAAAAAAAACAGGTGCTACCACCCCGGGTTTGGGTTGACCTGTGAACAACAGCTATTCAGAGGTGGTTCCATACTCATCAAAACCTCCAATCTCCCGACCAGAGGCTTTGCTGCCGGATGCATCCCCAGAACTAGCCATAAAATCAAATGATGGGGATGAAATGAAGAGTACATTACACCAAGAAAGGAAAGCTTATGTTGTGAGGCTGATTACTGTCTGTTGATATTTAAGAAGCTTACCTTATTGTAGAACAATGTGAAACATCAGATGTATTTGGAGATGAAACATTGTCTTGCTCCAATCTTCCAAATCGCAACTTGGAAAATCAGTATTCGAAATTGTTTTTACCCTGGCCCGAACACCGACCTCTGGCGCCAGTAGAAAATGGGGTACACATTTTTTTTTAACATCATGGTAGTATTGACGAACCTACCCGTGTCAATTTTTCTGGTGGGTGGAAGTCGGTGATATATGAAGAAAAAAATTTAAATGCAGAAGGATCTGAAACTTATTTTAAATTTTTAGCTCAATTTCTTATTTTTCCTGTGACATCGGATGAACAAGGTTCTGAGTATAAATCAATTGATCTGTCGATTTAGGCCTGCTTCTGCCCCCCCTCTCTCTCTCTCTCTCTCTCTCTCTCTCTCTCTCTCTCTCTCTCTGTGTGTAACACAGCAAGTATGAAGCCTTGCTTCATTTGATACCGTGACACCTGAACAAAAGTAGACTGTCTAGCACCAATCTCCCGAATAGGGATGGCTTGTTTGCCTTGAATACTGGCTACCACCGCTAAAGAGAAGTACTCTATATCCTCGGCAACAAAGCATTGTTGATCACATCAGAGTATGCACTCTCTTCCAGCTCAACACAGACTGGGGTGCAAAACTTTTGGGTCAACTTGTTACATGAATTACCCAAAATCGAAAGCGATTAGCAGTATGTGCTCCTCAGTACGTTTTATGACCGTTAAGGGCCAAAAAACAACAAGAATGCATGTTAGATGGTAGAGCATCTGAAGTACGGGTAAATGGCATTGCAAAAATACTGGTCAACGCGCGAAAATTTCACCTTTCAGCTGTTTCCTAAAAAAAAAAAGGATTTTTTTTAAGTGATCATTTTTTTGTTCCAGCTATCTTTTTCTGAAATTAACAACTTTTTGAAATTTGTGTTTGTTGATTTATTTCGTAATTTGTCTTGCTTTCTACAGTTTTTGTTTACCTAACATTTTATATATTAAAAAACGTTCTTTTTTTAGCTTCTAAATTCCATAATGTATATAAATGTTTATATACGTACACTGTATACGTTCCAATAGCTATTATACCCGGGGTGATAATGGGGACAAGTTCTAACCGGAGAATTGGCGAAGGCAGAACATGAAACTTTATAACCATCTGCTTCGGATAGATGGAGCTCGTCAGACCAGGAAGGCAGTCCATCTAGGGGAAGGAAAACACTGATTTTAAACCTCCGCTGCCTTAGGGTCCTATCAAAAACACGGAAAAGACTATGGAAGTAAATCCAGACTGAAAACCTGGAGTGGAGCCCCGAAAGAGGCTGGCTGTCAACACTGACAACTTTCCGGCAACTCCTTCAATCAAGTCGTCCCCAAATGTAATACTCTGTATTCCCTTGGATCTTTTTTCGGTACGGCCGAGAGGGGGGGTATGTAGTCTAGGTTTTGCCTCTTAACTTCTGAGACGAGGGACGGGATAACCTCAACATACCCGGTGCAAGAGGAACCGGCAAACCATTACATTATTCTGCTTTAAATGTCACCATGAACCACAATTGTGAAATAGAGGAGAGTGGTAACCACAATGGCGCAAAATGTTCTAACTGAATAAATAAATGAATGAATGATGATCTTTATTATTACAGAAAGGTCAAAACTTCAAAATATGGAATTAACGATTCTGTGTTTGGCTCAAATAATTGTCTTAATTCGATGTAGCATTTAGTGGAACAAGATCCAGATTTTCTCATTGGGAATTTTCCCCATTCTTTATGACAGTAACACCAAAGCTCTTAGCGGTTGCGTAATTTTCGTTGGAGAACGTATTTCTTCATATTCTTCCTACCACAATGATTCCATTATACTGAGATCAGGACTTTGTGTTAGCCAGTCTTCCAAAGGTTGAACACCTACAAGAAACGTTTTTGTTGCGCGTGATGTGTGGCAATGAGCACCGTCATACTGAAAAAAATTCTCCATCTTCGTAGACTTGTAGAAGATCAGACCGAAGTAAGCTAACATAGTTTTCATTGTTTAGGTTTCCACCAACTTTTACCAATTCCCTTGTTGTAGTATGTTAACAAGAATGGACCATTTGTAGAGGTCTGTTATTAACATGACCACACGATTTATATTTAACGTAAAATATCACAAAATATGAAACACAAGAAGAAACAAAATGGTTTTATAACAAACAATATATTTATTTTTGTGTAAATGATGTACATGCATAGAGGTTTGTGTTATGTGCCTTTGACTGTGAAATATTTTTATCTGAGCTCACAAAATTTAAATGAATTACAAAGCCGAGAAATGCTGAATAAACTTTAGCTTTAGAAAAGTATTTCAAAGAGAAAAGTTCTTGTTGCTTGTTTGAAATGTTTTGTATGTTTGTAATGTAGTTTGGAAAATTTCGTACGTACGTGCATGCATGAAAATGCCTTTAATGTCTGACCGCCCATGGTCGAGACGAGAATCCTTTTACAACTACATCTTGTAGCGAGAAGAGAGAAAGAGAGGAGCAAGCTCGTGTCTGCTATTTATAATTGATGTAATCACGTGACAGGATCAGATAAAATTTGCGGGAAAACTTGACTTGGTCACGCGCTGGAAAAATATTTGTACGTGGGTGGATTGCAACGCCCACTTGTGTGTATTGACCAATTAGAAGCCGAGAGGTTTCCTGAAAATCTGTATGAAGCTGAATAAAATTCAACATTGATAAGAAAGTGGTAGCGGGATGCTAAACCCTTCTATCATCGCTTTTCCTTCAAACCCACGTGTTTATGTGTCCAGCAGCAAATTTTACCGTCTTTATGATCTATCTTGCATTGTCTCATTCTCCTACTCGTCTTCTGACTTATTCTTTTGCATTAGAAAGTAGTTGTCTTTTACATTCATCACTAAAAAAAATATTTTTTGCCACTTTCTCGCAGTTTATGTTAGATATTCTTTTGACCATTTCAATATTTTATTCCAATCTTGTTTGGTTAATGATGAGTTATATTTGCTTCGATGAGTCCGTTCAAGTTAATTTTCGTAATACTGTTTGAACTGAAACTTCACTTTTAAGATTGCATTCATTCCTCACTTGTCTGCCTGTTAATTTTGGATTGCCTATCGAGACTCACAGTCTTTCTTTCATCTCTCTTGTGTAACATTTTGTGGTCTTCTGGTTGTCTTTGCGCTTAAAACACATCCAAAAGTAGCAAATATCTTTTGGGTGGTTTAAACATTGTTTTTTGTTTTGTTTTTTTTGGAAACTCCCAACCGCCTATCTCACTTTGAGTTATCTTTCCCTTTCAAAGTCGCAAGCTTCACTTTTGTTTCAGAAAAAATTTTAGCTGTGATTTAAGAATAAATAAGCAAACTAAGTTCAACTCGAATGATTTGCCAAGGCACCTGATACTCATGTTAATAAGATGGAACAATTGCTAGATCGAAATTTACCTATTATAATGACTTTATCATCTCAGCTTCAAACTGCTTGAAGTCATGTATTTTCTTTTACAGGGCACCTACAAAAACACAAGTTCTTTTTCAATCCTCAAGGTTCACGGACACTAGTGATAAAAGCGTATTGCTAAACAATGATACCATCTTAATGAAATAAAGGTTTTATGTAGTTCACCCAAAACTTTTGTACGCCATTGTAGATGCTGTATAAGCCACAGGCTTGCTCTGAGGTGTTTGAAAAACAAAATGTGCTTGAGCTGGCGCCTGCAACGTGGATTAACTAGACGGGGATGGCAATAAGCTAACGACCAATCACTACATTACTTCTATATATTTATGTCATATAAGTTGAACATATGAATTAAATCCAACAAGTTATAACGTTCTCGCTTACTTCCATTCTTTGTAACAGTGCTTGGAAGGAAAGTGTGTAGAGTGTGGTCGTATCACCACACCATAGAGAGTTTTCATCAGTAACCATGGCTTGTGTAGGAGTTTTTGGTCATGGACAACATTCCCCAGATCCGACGACCACTATATTCCCCAGATCCCACACCATGCGCCCTTTCCAAAAATCAAATTTCACTTGAAAGGAACAAGATTTCAAGACGTCGAGGAAATCCAGGAAATGCGACGAAGCAGCTGCTCATTATTCCTGAAAAGGGAGTTCCAGGAATTCTTCCATCGGTGGAAATAACACTGAATAAAGTGTGTGGCTTCAGAAGAAGAGAATTTCGAAGGAGATTAAATGCCGAACTGATTTGTGATGTAGTTTTCTTTTTATAGTACCAGTTTCGATACTTTTTCATCAGACCTTGTATATATTGCATCAATTTTTGTGGGCGTCATGTGTTTATCTGATGGTGTTTAATTCCTGAAATGTTAGCGTAAGTGTGTATTAAAAAAATATTTATATTGGTGTATTTTGAACGCATGATAAACATGATGAATATTGAAAGGAAATGAGTAATATTAGATTACATCATCTTTATATATGCATATAGACTGATTGCAAAAAGTCTTGTGGTAGATGTTTAGTATCATGTAGGATTCGAGCTCGGCGTAGTGCACCATTTCAACATGGCTTGGAAGATCTCTGACGAGATACTGAGAGCATGATAGCTGTGAACATCGCCCTGATATCTGTAGTGAGAAAGACTCCTCCATCACACTTTGTAAATACTCAATTGGGTCACACCATTCGCCAAACGTCTCCAGAATGCTCAACAAGCCAGTTCTGGCCAACTTGAGCCGGATAACACAACGCATTCTACTGCTGAAATAACCTATCGTTGTTAAGATACATGAAGCCTATTATGGGTGTAAACAGTTAGGAAGAGGGCAACGGTCAATGAAGTATTTAGGCGGACTAGTGACTCCAGTTCATGCCATATGAACACACCCACACCATTATGGAGCCACCACGGTGCCTTTGTTGTGAGAGAGGTTCCATCAGAGTACCCCAGTTAACAAACTGGGGTACCATATTACCAAATACGAAGTCTTATTTATGACGTCGTTAATTGGATGCTGGAAGATTAGCAACTTGTGGCTTGGTCCGATAAGTCATTCTTCTTTTTGTTTCGTCTTGATCATAGGGTTCGAGTGTGTGCATTGGCCAAAACATTACAAAACATATTTGACATATTAAATGATTGTTTCCTACACAACATTAGAAATAAATTTCTAATGATCTATAGGGAGCCTTTGTCATGTCCGCTAAAATATCAAATACAATATTTATAAACCAATCACACTCAAGAAAATACTTACATCTTAAAACACACCAATAAAATCATAGAATACAAATAAAAAAAGTTTGTTGTATTAGTCATCATGATTTAGGCAGATGCCGCCAAAATATCGTGCGGACGTATTAGAAGACATACCACGTGGCTTTTTAGGGCCAATTAGGAATAAATAAATAATTTAATTCTGGAGCTGATTTTGTTACGAAAAAGTGTATAAAACTCACGAAATCCGGCCCCAGACAGGATACGCACAGCGGTC